AAATCACTCTGTTCATACGAATGAAACTACCAAACAATCAGACTACCCCAGTGATAATGCCTTGTAACCGCAAACTAATTGGTAATTGCCTGTGTCTCCGTGTGAACTTGTTGGGTGGCTGCCGTTCGGCATATGAACACATGGTGGCGGCCATCTTGCATACGAACACTCAGCGGTGTTTGGTCGTCGAGTGACTGGAACCTAAATCGGACACTCGATTACCCGAACACCGCTGAGACCTCCATGGCTCCATAACTAACTAACAGAACCACGAATAAGCCCCTCATTCGCTTAAAATAAACTCCTGAATGAGGGGATTTTACCGAACCCCCGCTTAGCCCTGGATAGCAGGGATTTTCGTGTATTTTTTATCCCGAACATAGACCGGCCGCAAGGCCAAAACTCATGGAAGCGATTTTGGCTTCTGCTGGGTGTGTTCGGTCGGTCAAAACTTCCCTTACACATAACTCCCGAACCACTGGTCCGATCTGGGTGAGTTTTGAGTATGATTTAGGGGTGTACCCCCAACAGAAGGGGTACATCCAGAAAGTGGGGAAAACTGTGTCCTGCACAATAGGATTATGTGTCATGCTGAGGGGAGGAGAAGTGTGGGTGGTAACTTTAATATTATTGGCTACTGTACTAATTATTATGGGTGTCTCCCTCGCATGGGAGAATTGCTTAAAAGATGACTGTATGGAATAAAAGTTTAGTTCTGCTCCTGATGCTGTGTGTCGTCCAGTCATTGGGAAACGTGTGGGATACTTTTGGATTGCTTTACTAATCGTGGATATAATTCTCTTGGGTTTTATTACTTGTTCCTGAGCCTTATTTGGATTACCAGCGGAGATTGTCTGTGAAAGACCAGCACTCCGCTACACTCCCCTTTCGAACTCCTATACGGGAGAAAAGTATGGGGACCCCTGGACCTCATACGGCAGCACTGGGAAGGTGACACAGGTGAGGAAAGGAATCCCTGTTGTACCCTACATACTGGAGTTGAGGGACACCTACAGGCTCTCACTGACTCTTTTAGGGAAAATTTGCAGGCAGCCCAACGATGCCAGAAGAGGTGGTTTGATAGGGGAGCCAGAGATAGGATCTTTGAAATAGGAGAGAAGGTATTAGCCCTGAAGCCGACCAAAAAGGACACATAAGCGACACTACCCACATTGTAGGAAAATGTTGAGATGAAAGGGTACGATGATCCTTTCATGTGAATGTGGCAGACCACCTGGTACCCCGACTGAGTACCTCCACCAATCATGCTTCCTAGTAATCCCTGAGTACCATAAGCACTGCACCAGACACCATAAGCACTGTAGCCCCTTAGTCGCCACAGCTTGGCTGGGGTCTCACCTTCTCCGCCCACCCTGGACCCAAGTCCTGGATCCAGTTCCCAGTGGGTAGGCCTCTCATCTCATCCAGAGAGTATAGTAGGAAATAGAGCAACTGACATGATCCGAGGCTTAATGCTGGGAGTAAGACTTTTATTCAGGGCCACACACTGACTTTTATTCAAAAGCCCATGAAAGGTTTCTTACACAAAATCACAGGGTAATCCCTCCTCTGTGACTGAGAGATACTTGAGTCAGGAACTGTACAAACTCAATTATCTCCAGGTACAGAAAACACACAATTTACAAACACCTCAAAAGTACCCCCCAAAATACATGAAAACCCCACAAAACTCACATTCCTGCATAGCCCTGTCTAATGGACCACCTGGCACCCTGACTGGGTATCTCTATTGATGAATACGAAAAAGACCCCTTCTCTTCTAATAAATATTAACCAGCAGGTATATAGCCTTATTAATACACTACAATAGCTTAAAATTTCATTCCATTTATTAATAGTCTACCATCATACAACTATGTGAAGTAGAATTCCTCAGTTACAAAAGAAAAAAGGAAAACATTTTAAAATAATTGAAAACAAAATAAGAAAGTCCAGACCTTATTAAAAACTCGGCATCCCGAGTCAGCAAGTTGCAAGAATGCTTTAAAAATAAAGGATGTGGGTCCTCTTTGTAGTAAAAAATGATGACTAGTGTTGATAGGAGTCAGACCTCTCCAAACGCGTTTCTCCGCTTCGCGGCTTTTTCAATGGATGCGGTCTGACCGTTAATGATCGTTTTTATAGTGTCCTCCGTTTACTTTGCAATTGTAGCAAATCATTATTTTGTAACAAAATAGATCATCTCTAGATATCTTCCAGTCATATTGTATCGTCTTCTCAAAAAAATTTACACATTGTTATTCCACTTTATGTCTGTTAATATTACTATGATAATGCCCGCCCTCTTAGGCAGGTTTGAATATAACGGCCATAATTGAGAGCAAATCAAAGTAAAGAAAAATAATTAGTCTATATTATGACTCTAAATCTGGTCCTATCCTTATTATAATAAGAATAAAAATTAAAAATTACAGCTCCCAAACAGGTTATAGAAAACATATACCTGCTATAATTAAATATGAAAAAAAAAAAAAATTTAATTATCCAAGAAAGTGACAGAGCTCAAATTCAGCATTTAATCCTTTAGGTTGTAATGTATCCAGCTTATATATCCATTGCATTTCAGTAATCCCCAACTGTTTATTTGGATCACCACCTCTCCAATTCTTATTAACTTTACATACCCCTTTGAAATTCAGGAGGCTCATATCCGAGTTGTGTTGCTGTTTAAAGTGAGCGAAAACCAAATGCTGCATATAACCTTTTTTTATGTTTTAACATATGTTCTCTAATTCTCACATACAGCTTTCTCTTGGTTCTTCCTACATATTTGAGTCCACACGGACACTCCAGTACATAGATCACATTGGTACTCTGACAAGTGATGTGTTCTTTTATTTTGCACGATTCCATCTTTCTTTTATGATTATTTTTTATGACTTCAAATACTCCTTTTGTCTGTATGTTCTTACTTGTCTTACATGCAATACATTCCAGGCAATAAAAGAAACCGTTCTTTTTTTATTGTAGTTGTTTGCTTTCTTCCTTTTAGATGGCTACTCGTTATTTTCCTTTTCAGATTAGGTGCCCCCCTAAAAGTGATTCTAGGTCTTTCTGGTAAGCTACTGGCAAGAATTTTATCCTTTTTCAATAGATGCCAGTGCTTCGTCAGTATTCTTTTTAGTTGTACATTTTCTTTATTAAAGTCTAAGATAATTGCTAAGATTTAACGTTTCAATCAAAACTTTTGCTCAAATAACAGATGTATACAATCTTCCCTCTAGAGAGGTGTTTAATTTTTTAAGACTTAAAAATCTTCCCTCTAGAGAGGTGTTTAATTTTTTAAGACTTAAAAGTTATATGAATACATTCCTTATAATACCAAAATCTAATTTGAGCAATTTGATTGATTCATTATTTACGTCAAAAAAAACTAATAGACCACTCTCTAAAGCTCTGATATTAACTAAATCAATGGCAAAAGATATAAACCCTACTGCCATACAGGTTTGGAAACAAGATTTAGACATTGATATTAGTCTGAACCAATGGGGTTCTTCAATGATGGATGTTAAGAAAAATATACATTCATTAAACTTACTAGAAACACACTTTAAAGTTTTAAATAGGTGGTATTTAGTACCAGCTAAATTGAACAGAATTTATCCCTTAATTAATCCTACTTGCTGGAGATGTAATAGTATTAGAGGCAATTTTAGACATATTTGGTGGGATTGCAATAAACTAAAGAATCTCTGGCTGAAAATACAGCATTTTATATCCAATAATTTAAAACTTGAGTTGAAAATTTCTCCAGAGGTAGTTTTGCTGCATCTGAATTGGCCACATATGACATATGAGCTAAAAGTAATTCTTATACATCTTTTTTTAGCTGCTAAAATAGTAATTGCGAGATGGTGGAAAAAAGATTTAGAAGTCCCCTGGAAGAAAGTCAAAATTCAACTCGAGTTTCAGATTAAAATGGAGTTGATGCTATGTAAACAAAGACTAAGTAATAAGGTTTCTTTTTGGTCAAAATGCATTGAGATGATTGATGTAGAAAATAATGCTGATCAATTAGAAGAAGAAGAATCCCATGAACATTGCAAAAAAATTATGAGATATATTTAAATGAAATTACCACTCTGCTATGGAAACTCTTTTGATGTACTTTTCTTTTCTCTCCCCTATTTTGCTGCTATGTCATTTTGTATTGTACATTTGTATGATATGATATATGTATTTGTATGATATATGTATTTAATAAGGAAAATAATAATAATAAATAAAGATTAAATATTCAAAAAAAATAAAAGGAAAGAATCAGAACCAAATTTTAATATGACACTACCTCTAAATGAGAATAGCACAGATATTGTCCATACAGAATTAAAGAAGAGATCTAGTTTTTATCCTACATTTCTCAAATCTGACTCAATGAAAGTCTTTGAGCGGGCATGTCTGGATGAAATATATAAGATTAAACTCCTTTCTAAATATAGTTTAAATTTAACATTCGAGGAGAAAAGGCATTTAGAAGAATTAAAAGATGACTCATCGATGGTTATTAAACCAGCTGATAAGGGGGGGGGAGTAGTTATAATGGATAAGAAAAAATATTTACAAGAAATAGAAAAACAGCTTTAAGATATTAATACGTATAACAAAAACTGAAAAAAGATCCCACACAAGAGATTAAGAAAAATTATCAAATTTTTCTAGAACAAGGGGAAAAGCATAACGTTTTAAATAAGGGAGAATTAGCCTTTTTATTGCTTGACCACCCCCGTATACCAGTGATTTACGTATTACCTAAGCTACATAAGGATCCTATAAATCCACCAGGACACCCTATAATATCAGGCATAAATTCTATTCTATCTCCATTTTTGCAATATATAGATTTTCATCTTCAACCTCTAGTAAAAAACTGTCCCTCTTATCTTCAGGATTCAATGAGCCTGCTCAATATGCTAAATAGTTTTAAATGGGAAGACGATTATCTTCTCATTACATGTGACGTAACTAGTCTGTACACCATCATTAAACATGAAAAGGGATGTTAGGCCACAAGGTTCTTTTTACAAGAATCTAAGAAGTATAATGAAGTCCAACAGAATTTTATTTTAGAGGGTATGCACATCTTGGAAAATAACTATTTCTGGTTTGAAGGAGATTTTTACTTGCAAGTTCGAGGTACAGCTATGGAGACCAGGTTTCCACCCAGTTATGGCGATCTCTTCATGGCATATTGGGAACACACTTTTATTTATCGAGAACATGACTGTGATGCAAACCTGGTCCTGTACAAACGATACATTGATGATATTTTTATAATTTGGAAGGGGTCTGAGGATATTTTTAATAAATTTTTTACTTCTCTCAATTGCAATGATTGGGGAATTCATTTAACAAAAAGTGTGAGTAATATAAGCATTGATTTTTTAGATCTTAATATTTATGTCTGTAATAATGCTTTAACTACTCGCACTTTTTTTAAACAAGTTGATGTCAATAGCTATTTTGAGATTAGCAGCTGTCACCATAAACCTTGGTTGACCAATATCCCTAAGGGGCAGTTCCTAAGATTACGTAGAAATTGCACGAATGTACAAGATTTTTCCAACCAAGCTGAACTCTTGAAGAAACAATTTATACAAAAGGGATATCATAGAAAAGATTTAGATACCCAAATTCAGGAGATATCATCTTTGGAAAGATCTCACCTTCTGAAGTATAAAAATAAAGACAAATCTGGGATGGATAGTCAAAAGAAACAGATTCCCTTTATTTTTAACTATTCAAGTAATGTAGGTGCTATTAAAAGAATTATAAATAAGAATTGGGATATTTTAAGTCAGGATGAGGAAGTACAAGAATTTTTAGGCTCTAAGCCCAAATTTATTTTTAGAGGTGCAAGAAATTTTAAACAAATTTTAACTAGTAGTTTTTTAGAGAAAACATCTCCAAACAACAGTAATTTTTTAACTAGCTGGTCGAGAACACATCAAGGTTTTTATCACTGTGGGATGTGTAATGCAAGCAAAAATACAGATATAAAAGAGAAAAATTTAACAACTTTTAACTCTTTTAGTACTAAAAAAAGAACTCAAAATTAAATCAATGATTACGTGCCATTCAAATAATGTCATATACTTACTAAATTGTATATGTGGCCTCCAATATGTAGGTAAAACATCAAGGCCTTTGAAAGTTCGAATAGGCGAGCATGTTAGAAATATTAAGAAAGGATTCATAAACCATAATGTATCAAAAAATTTTTGGATAAACATGACTCAGATCCGAAGTTTTTAAATTTTTGCGCTATAGAGAAAATTGAGCCCCATTGGAGAAGGAGGAGATGTCCCTAAAAAATTAAGTACCCAAGAGGTGAAATGGATATTTGAAATGCGCACTTTATCACCTATTGGGTCTTAATATTGATTTTAATAGCATTTTATGAGTAATGCTTAGAACAGTATATTTGGTTTTAACTTTTGTTTATTGTATTTTTATATTTGGGGTTTTTAGTTCCATATAATATATTTTATATATTTTTTATCTTATATTATTTCTAAGATGTCTTGAAGGCTATTTATAAATCTTTTTAAAAAAAACCTTTTTTAAAATCACTTTACTATCTCACAAATTCACTGCAATTTTAATCCACCCCTTTGCATTCCCCTTTCCTTTTAGCCCTCTCTATTTTAAATATCCATATTATGATAAATATTATGTGTTGATTTTACTTTGGTTTGATGCTATAAGAATGTAACATCTTGTTATGATTATGATATTTAGTAATGATTTCTTTATTTTATCCTATACTCCCTTCTTTTGCTGTATCCGGATGTGTAAATATGATGAACTCAGGGCATTTTGCCCTATCTCTAATGGACGTTCCGTGCGTCGATCACATGACCTATATGGAACTATAATATACACGTCACAGGAAGTGACATGTCGGAACGAAATGGGCCGGAGCTAGAGGACATGACGTCTCAGAGGAGTGCCATTGGACGAACAATGTGGAGATTCAATTGGGAATATGGCGGACATGTTGGGAAGGCTTGGAGGGAGCAGTCTATAGCCGGAAGTGCAGCCATATTTTGTTTGGCGTGACACTTCTGGCTATGACCATATATGGAAGTGGGTGGGAATTTTGTACACATGTACACATTCTCTGGTATATAAGGACTTTCAAGCTCACAGTTAAATCAGATGCACTTGAGAAAGACCTATTTAAGGTTGAAACGTGTTGTGCTTTTTATTGCAAATTATTTGTATATATATATATACATTTTTTATTTTTAAATATTTGTTACAATAAAATATCTTTTTACCTACTCTGGAGTCTGCTGCAAATTCACCAGTTCCAGGTTCCTGTGGATATATCCGATGTACCCACATTACATGTCTCAAGGAGGAGACGATAAGCGTTAAAAGTTTAGAGCCAACTTCCAAAAGGCTCTGGAAATTGTGAGTGTGCTGAAATTCATTCCTCACTTTGATATTTTGTATATACAGGTTACACTATGTATGTTTCATTTACCTGTACATAGGTTACAAGAACAACCTAATGTGTGATTACCTGAGATATTGTTTTATGTAAGGTAATATCCACTTTATTTTGTGTGCGCTAATCACCTTTTCTCTTTATCTTATCATTTAGCTTAGTATAGCAGTGAGTTCAAACTGCCAAACGGGACTTGTCTCTGCAGCTGAAAACAGAGTGTAGGAGAAGGTAAGGGTCAGCGGTGTTCGTTGAAATGTTTAGCCGATTTCAATTCCATGGATTTGGCTACACATATCGCTGACCCAGTGGCGTAATAAGGGGGGGGCGGAAGGGGCGGTCCCCCCCGGGTGCCACCAGGGTGGGGGGTGCCATGACCAGCCGCCCGAGTGCTCTGTAGATAGCCTCAGGCGGCTGCAGCTTTGCCCGGGCGGTGCGTCCATGAGGGCGGACCGCACCGCCTGGGCGCAGCCTGAGGAGAGGGGCTGACAGGAGGGAAGCGCTCAGCGCTCCCTCCTGTCACTCCCTCTGTAGTAGCGTGGCCGAGCCCAGTATAGTCGGCGGGTACAGGGAGCATCTGTGTGCACTTCCTGTTAGTCCGGCCGGGTACAGGAAACAAAAGCTCCCTTTTGAAAATGGGAGGGGAGGGAGAAAGAGAAATGGGAGGGAGAAGAGAAAATGGGAGGGGAGGGGAGAAAGAGAAAATGGGAGGAGAAAGAGAAAATGGGAGGAGAAGAGAAAATGGGAGGAGGGAGAGAAGAGAAAATGGGAGGGAGGGGAGAAAATGGGAGGGAGGGGGGGGAGGGGAGGGGAGGGGAGAAAGAGAAAATGCACCCACACAGACACAAACCTTGCAGCCCTTACACATACAAACACAATTTCACACAATGCATTCCTTACACACATATCAGGACATCCCCTACACACTCCACCCCCTGTGAACAAACATTGGTGGAACATAAAGGTGGACCCTGGGACCCAGACCTTGAGCTGTGTAAAGGACCCCCAAAAAATGGAGCTGCTTCCCGTTCTCCCAGAACATTGATTTTTGTGACCACAGTTACAAACCGCCTCCAGAGAGCCTGTTCTGCACCAGACAAGTGGAGCCAGACTGCAGCTAGAGCTCATCATCATCCTCATCTGGTTGTAAGTAGGCAATCTAGTATATTATTCATGGCACTAAGCTCTAATTTACCTCACATTAAAGAAACACTATAGTCCCCAGAACCACTTAAGCTTAATGTAGTGGTTCTGGTGTCTATAGCCTGTCCCTGCAGGCCTTTTAATGTAAACACGGCGGCACTGCAGCACTGGCGTTAGGTAACATGGCAAATCATATGGGTGGTGCATTGTGATGTCACATGGGGGGTGGCAAACTTTACTTTTGCCTAGGGCAGCAAAAATCCTTGCACCGGCCCTGGCTGGAGGGGGCTGTGTGAGCTGTGGCCGCACAGTGTCCCATTGTAGTTAGGGGTCCTCAAGGCACACCTACCAGTCCAGGATTTAGGGATTACATAGTAGTGGCTAAGGTGTTTTTAGAAAAAACACCTTTGACACAACTGGGTCACCCCTAAATCCTGGACTGGTAGGTGTGCCTTGAGGACTGGGTTGGGAAACACTGCTCTAGGGGAGTGTTCACCAGGTGGGAGACCTGCATAAATTCTGGGCAGGTAGTCCTCATTAAACAGACCACTGCTTGACCCTCAACATGGAGCCTTGTCTTGTCTTTGGGGGGATTTACTGAATGCTGATAGAGACTGATTGCTAGGAGTGTAAGCCGCTTGGATTCGTATTGGTTCCAGTTCAGAGTTTGGAGTGTTACAGTATATGCCGTTCGGGAGTTTGGAGCATTCCCTTATTGGCGGTTCGTGGGTTTGGTGTTGTACAATAGCTGTGCCTGCATCTCTGGAAAGGGGGACGATCGCCTAAAGCCGCTTGGATGCTTTTCCTATTCATCTGCTAGCAGCGATTCGTATGGTTACGGTTCTGCTGTTTACAGCATTCATATGCTTCTCCGGTTCGGTGGATTGGTGTCTACAGTAGTTGTGCCTGTGTCTCTGGAAGGAGAAGATCTACTAAACGGTGGTTTAACCCTTTTATGCCTGGGGGTGCAGTTACAATTGGTGGCAAGCAGCGGGATCGTTCCCACAGACAAAAGGACAGCTACAGGCGACACCATTCTGTGGATTTTTACAATTTGAGGGCAACGCATGTCCCAGTACAGCGACCCTAAAAGCAACAGAATGGAACCAGCAGTGTTATACAAGGAGGAGGACCTGGATGGCCGGGATGCATTAAGGAAAGGCATCTGGTACCAGGCCCTGGATAATGTACAATACCAGCGGGGTGAGATTCTCCCCAATGAAGAGCAGCGGTTGCAGAAGCAAGTGGCCCTGCGGATGCCCTTCCTGGGAGAGCAGCCCCTGGAGGGATGGGTGAAGGAACTAGAGCACCGGGTATGGCAGGAGCTATGGCTGGAGGATGCCTACCAGGTGCTCTGGTGCATAGGCGTGCGCAGCCTATTGCATTAGGGTGTGCACCCTAAAGCACAAGCACACGCCGCATATATATATATATATATGTATGTATGCATATATATATATATATATACACATACACATATATACACACACACACACACACTGCTGTGTGTGTGTGTGTGTGCTGTGTGAGGGTGCTGTTGGTGTGATGTGTGTGTGACGGTGCTGGTAGTGTGCTATGTGGGTGAGGGTGTTTGTGTGTGCGTGCTTGTGAGGATGCTGTTAATGTACTGTGTGTGAGGGTGCGGTTTGTGTGTGTTTGTGTGCGCTTGTGAGGGTGCTGTTAATGTACTGTGTGTGAGGGTGCTGTTTGTGTGTGAGGGTACTGGTAGTGTGCTGTGTGTGTGTTAGGGTTCAGTTTGTGTTTGTGAGGGTACTGTTAGTGTGCTGTGTGTGTGTGAGGGTGCTGTTTGTGTGTTTGTGAGAGTGCTGTATGTGTGTGGGTGCTGTGTATGTGTGTGGGTGCTGTGTATGTCTGTGGGTGCTGTGTATGTCTGTGGGTGCTGTATGTCTGTGGGTGCTGTATGTCTGTGGGTGCTGAATGTGTGTGCTGTGCTGTGCTGAATGTGTGTGGGTGCTGTGGGTGCTGTGTATGTCTGTGGGTGCTGTATGTGTGTGGGTGCTGTATGTCTATGAATGCTGTGTATGTCTGTGGGTGCTGTATGTGTGTGGGTGCTGTATGTGTGTGGGTGCTGTATGTTTGTGGGTGCTGAATGTGTGTGGGTGCTGTGAATGTGTGTGGGAGCTGAATGTGTGTGGGTGCTGTGTATGTCTGTGGGTGCTGAATATGTGTGGGTGCTGTGTATGTCTGTGGGTTTTGAATGTGTGTGGGTGCTGTGTATGTCTATGGGCGTTCTATGTGTGTGTGCTGTATGTGTGTGTGGGTGATTGTGGGGGTGGAGGTGGGGGTACATTATTTGCTATCCCCCCTCCCTTCTTACCGGGGGGGATAGTGCTGCTGCTTTCCCTGGTGGTCCAGTGTGGGGCTAGAGTTCACTCTCATGAGATTTGAGCATTGCCGTGGCAACGCTCATATCTCGCGAGAGGAACCCGGCGGAGCTGCCAGCAATAGCTCCGCCGGGTCCTCTCCTGCCTCCCTCCCTGCATGTGGGTCAGTGGGGAGGGAGGCTAAGAGCAGAGCCGGCGCTCGGATAGCACCGGCTCTGCATGAGCCGGCAGGGGAGATCCTGAGATCTCCCCTGCCGGTCTCAATACACATAGGCGTGCGCGGGGATTAGGGTGTGCCCAGGCACACCCGGCACACCCCGTGTGCACGCCTATGCTCTGGTGGTATATGGCACAGTATATACCCTGGACAGCCGAGCATGACAAGCCAGAGGGAGAGGAGTTTGATGGTCCTGGCTTGTTATGGGAGTCTTTTGCAGAGCCTGAGTTTGGGAGCCCTACACAAGCCCGGTTCAGTGATCTCTTGGAGTGGAGGGAGAGCAGGTATGACTGGGACGACACTCATGAAATTGAGCAAGACCTGGCTCACCTAGCAACCCTGGAGTGGGAACTGGAGCAGGACTACCGAGATCTCTTCCACTCCATTGGGAAGGCTCAGCAGGACAGCAAGGTGACAGATCCAGTTCCAGACCCCTTCAGCTGGGAAGATATTGTTGAGATTTACTGGGAAGAACCCCAGGTGGCGGGTGGAGATGGGACCGAGGTCTCTCCACCGGTATTGCAGGGAACTGGGAGCCCGAGCTCCATTCCCCAGCGGCAGTCTGAGTTACAGGGGACAGAGATAGTTGCTCCTGTCCCGAAGCAGCAGAGTGAATTGCAGGG